AATGGTTGGGAACACATTTTTACAATGCCCATGTCATCTCAGTTTGCTGCCACCAGAAGAGCTGATCTGTTCTTCTTTTGCATTTTTTTTTGTTTTGTTTTTGTTTTTTCAGAGGGTTGTTTTCGACACCCCAGTTTTCCACCCGCTAGTGGACCCGGTCTCTGGAGAGCTGGATGTGAGGAGAGCTTTCACCAAATGGAGGTCTGTTTAAAAAAAAAAAAAAAAAAAAAAAACAAAAAATTAAAAAAAAAAAAAAAAAAAGGAGCAGCAAGAACACACTTCAGTCTTCTGTCCCAGAGTGAAAATGACACCAATTTAAATGTATACAAAGATTGAGATTTATTTACAAAAAAAAAAAAACACAGAGATAGGGAGCAATGGCTCAGGAGAGAGCAAGGCCTAAAATAACAAACAAACTATTTTAGGGAGCAGCACTAACTTACCACAAACACCCAAAAGAAAAGAGAAATAAACAATATTAAAAAAAAAAGGAAAATAAAAAGAATATATTACCGGCTATTTATCTTTAGCTTTTCAACAAAGCAAAAACTGGGTCAGATATTATTTTGTTAAGTGTTTTTGTCATTTGTATATATATATTTTTAAATATGTCTATATAGTTCTTCATTTTTATTTTAGTTTTAGTTATTTTAGTAAAAGTTAAACTAAATTAAAATGAGAAATGTTGCCTCAGGCAACTAGCTGAAATAAAACAAATTTTTTAAAAATTTTATTTTATTTCTTTCAACGTTTAGTTTAAAGTATCAGAAATGTTTTGTATGGCACACAGACAGACAGACAGACAGACATAGACAGAAAGACAGACAGACAGACAGAGATAGATATAGATAGATAGATAGACAGACAGATATACACACACACACATACAGACAGAGATAGATAGATAGATAGATAGATAGATAGATAGATAAACAGACAGACAGACAGAGATAGATAGATAGATAGATAGATAGATAGATAGATAGATAGATAGATAGATTATTCAGTCTCAAAATACATTTGGATGGATGGATAGATGAATAAATAAATACATTAATTATAATTACATAAATTATCTCAAAATACATTTTGGATATATAGATCTTCCAGCAGAAGGGTAATATTTAATAAAATTACTTAAATGGCTAGTTCTGTCATCATTTACTCACCCTCATGTCGTTCCAAACCTGTATGACTTTCTTTCTTCTGCAGATACCCCCCAAAAAAAAAATTTTGAGGAACATCGGGGTTCAAACAACTTTGGATCCCAATAACTTACACTGTATGGACAAAACACACTGACATTCTTCAGAATGTCTTCTTTTATGTTCCACAGAAGAAAGAAAGTCATACAGGTGAGGTGTGAATGACATGAGGGTAAAGGATTATTGGGTGAACTATCCCTTTAAAATCATGTCAGATGTGCAGATGGTTTAATCAGTAAATCAGGTGCTAAATGTGCAAAATTCAGGCGGTTGATAAGCGTGGAGTGGGTGGGGAGACAGGATGTGGTCATGCTGTTTGTCAGATTTAAGCTGACTGAGGAAAATCTCAAAGAGTGTTATTAAAACAGGAAGCGCCTGGAGCCACAAGCAAAAAGAATCTTTCATATGTCACGGATCTGTTTACATGTCTATGTTCATGTTGTTGCTTTGTTTTTGTTCGTATGGCAGGTGGAACTTATATTAAACATTATTGAAATATTGATGGTCGAGTCATTGTTTCGTTTTAATATATTTTCCAGTGAACACACCCTGACCGTGCCATCTCAAAGAAAAGAAAAATCACAAATTAGATCACTTTGACATCTCAATAACATTAAATACAGATGCTTCTCCTGTGAAAAAGTCCCCAGTGAAAGAGACTGTGCTCAAACTTGGCAAGATAACAAAGTCTGAGATATCAAAAGTCTGTCAACAGATTCATTTGTGTCTATGTTCAATTCTCAATTCAATGAATTTTAGGTGAGTCATCTTACTATTAAGCTGAACCAATATAACTGAGAACTACGAAGGATGCACTTGGTATAAAGAGGTTCCTGTTTTTCTGTTGGCTCCAGTTGTTCTACCATGCTTTGAATCACATCCTCATTGTGTAAATTTGGAAACAGTTTTCTAAAGAACATAAGCAGACCTTCCAGAGCAGGGTGAGGCTTCTCCTTCCAGCTTCTTCTGCAGGTTGGATGAGTCTCCAGAGCTGAGGAGCTACAGACGGAGCTGAGGAAAGATCAATCCAGACTCATATTCATCCACACAGCTGTATTTAACAACACTCAAACTGCAAACTGATCATAAAAAGAAGTAATTGTAGTGTACTTCAAATACTATTTCTGTACTTGCAGAAATTATAATATTAATAAAATAAAAAGTACTTAAAGAGTACACTTTCATGACTGTTTCTTGACACGCTTAAGTACACTTTTAAAAACTGCATTTTGTAATAATGTCAAATTAAAGGATTTAATTTAAAGTACATCTTAAATCATTGTTTTATTACTCTTTGTCATGCTTTAAAGGACATGTTTTGATGTGTTGACTACCATACTGCAGCAGAAGTATTTGATACTAATATTATTATATTTTTTAATATACTAAATTGCAAATTCATCATTAGAAATGTATATTTAAATGCATGACATACAAGTTTCACTAAAAATAACATTAAAGTATATTTTAGTGTATTTATATATATATATATATATACAGGTGCATCTCAATAAATTAGAATGTCGTGGAAAAGTAATTCAACTAACTGTATTTAATACTAATATCAATTTAAATAACATGCAATTAAGTGTCTGACAACATTAAATTCATTCACATTTAAGTATATTCTTTTAAAGCATATTATTTCCATAGAGTACTCGTTTTAAAAGTATGTTAATGTAAACTACTTTTTCACAAAAAAAAAAACTGACATGATTGGACCAAATATAAAATTATACCATCAAACCTAACTGTATAATTATAATTAAAGATAACATATTTTAGTTATCTTTAGAACTACTAAACTGCAAATTCGTCATTACAAATGTTCTACTGTACAATTACTATGTATATGTACTTAAATGCATAACATACAAGTATAAATACAAATGACATTGAAGTATATTTTAGTTTACCATAAATGCTTGTCAGTTAATTTGACAATACGCTTTAACCATATTTCAAAGACAGTACAATTATGAAATTACACATAGAGATATACTTAAGCGAGTCAAAAAAGCACTTTTAGGTTCAACTAATTACATGTAATATACTGTATGTTTAAATGATAATATATTTTTACTTTAATTGTAAACAACATGCAATTAAGTGTCTGGAAACATCACATTAAGTTCACTCTTAAGCATATGATTTTCATAGTAATTACTCTTTTTGAAAGTATGATTTGTATTGCTTTGACTAATTGTCTGTTTGGTGGCATGTGGAAATGCATGCTCAATTGAAGAGTTCAAGGAGAATAATGTCAAAGTCTCACCTTTCTCTGCTGTGGTTGTGTCTACAGATGTCCACGAGCTCCAGTGAGCGTGCGCTCGACTGTCCTGAGCTCTCAGTCTCACCAAATACTTGGATCCTGGGTGTAAGTCACACAGCGCCAACGTCTCCTTGGAAAAGGCTTGTATAGTCTGGGATCGGGTCTACGGGATCATTAGAGAGAGTTTCTTTCATTAATGGTCTAATCTTGTATATGCTCCAACTAAATATCAGTTTTATATCAACTAAAGGTCACACAAACATACTTTTAAAAAGAGTACTCTATGGAATTATCATACTTTGTATAAAAATACACAGAATGTAATGTTTTCATACACTTAACTGCATGTTATTTACAACTAAATTAAACTGTATTATACTTTAAATTGTTATTAATTGCAATTATCTGAACCTAAGAGTGCTTTTTTGACACTTAAGTAGGACTTAAGTACATCTTAACATTTCCTAATCACTTCCAATATGGTAAAGTGTATTGCCGAATGTACTGACAAACATTAATGGTAATTAAAATATATTTGTGTTTTACGTAATTTCTATTGAAACATGTCAGTTAAATAGACCTATATTTTTAATCACACATTTGTAATGATAAAGTTTAGTACAGTTGAAACGTAAATTCAAATGTAACTTCAAAATTTAAATAACTCACACAGTTACAGTTAAAGGTGCTGGATGTAGGATTGACACCGAGTGGTTGAACTAGGTATTGCAGGGATTTTTTTCACCCGGCCCCTCCTCCTCAGACTTGACGCACACGCAGGTTGCCAGATTGACGACACCAACAGGCACGAGCGCACTTAACGATGAATGAAATTAAATACGCTGTGTTTTCCACCAACTGGCAACCTGGGGTGCCGAAATACAATTGGGCAAACTGGCAGTGGGTGGGTTTCACAAACCAAAACAGAGACCGACATTCCGGCCTGGAACACACAATTTCACAGGAGAATAACTGACTGTAGCATTGTTTTTCAGATAAACAAGTATGTTAACTTAGCATGTTTCTTAAATATCTGCAAACATATTATGGTATTTTTATGCTTTAGTACAGTCAAAAACTTACATACAGCACCTTTAAATTAACTCACTATAGTAATTATTCATGTAGTTTACATGTGTTTTAGTATGTTAGTTAACACATCCAAATAAATAAAGCATGACAAAAGATTATTAAAACAATGAAAAGGTACTTTAAAGTAACACTTTTTGATACTTTTTAAAAGTGTACTTAAGTATGTCATGAACGTGTACTCTTAAGTACACTTAAGTGGCCTTTTATTTCAATAATTTAATAATATCTGAAAGTACAGCTTTTTTTTAAATGCTTTTCAAGACTTGACATACAGGTACACTATGAATGCACATTTAGTACAATTAAGTGCACTTCTTTTTTGAAAGAACTTGTCTACTTTCTTCTGTGGAAGACAAAAGGAGATGTTTTGAAGAAGCTTTTAGTGCATAAAAGCTTTCTAAATGACTCATGCACTGCAATCTGCCTTCTGAAGTCAAACAACAGCTTTGTGTGCTAAAAAGACCAAAATATAAGTCATAATCATAAGTTTGGAAAGACATGAGGGTGAGTAAATGAGGACGGGATCTAGATTTTTAGGTGAGCTCTCTCTTATAGCTCTTATATTTTAGTCATATATGTATAAACCTGGTTGTGTGTCGTGTACTCCATTTGGAGCAGTATGTAGACTTTTTCATTCTTGGGAAAGCTCTCAACCATTCTCCAGATCACCTGCAAACACCCGGACCTTCTCTCTGATGGCCTGAGATTTGTTATCTGTGGAGGACGAAGTTTCACTGCAGTAAAAATAGAAAACATACTGAGAATACAGACATATTGAGAAGAAAAGACTTTATTTACAGGTTGTTTACTGCGGTAAGGAATGAAATGCCTTTGGCGTAATGGACACAGGTGCAAAGCATGATGAATAATGACATTAAACATTACTATAGACGGAAATTAGTGATTTATATGTACTGCTGAGAAGCATTTTTCGAGGTATGTGTCACCAATATGAAAGTAATAAACAATGTGTACAGTACATTAATGTTGTTTCGTGATGTGCAGTATACCTGCATTGACCCCACTGAAGAAGTACGGCGGTGAGGCAGGTTGCCAGATTGACGACACCAACAGGCACGAGCGCACTTAACAATGAATGAAATTAAATACGCTGTGTTTTCCACCAACTGGCAACCTGGGGTGCCGAAATACAATTGGGCAAACTGGCAGTGGGTTGGTTTCACAAACCAAAACAGAGACCGACATTCCGGCCTGGAACACACATTTTCACAGGAGAATAACTGACTGTAGCATTGTTTTTCAGATAAACAAGTATATTAACTTAGCAGGTTTCTTAAATATCTGCAAACATATTATGGTATTTTTATGCTTTAGTACAGTCAAAAACTTACATACAGCACCTTTAAATTAACTCACTATAGTAATTATTCATGGGTTTCACAAACCAAAACAGAGACCGACATTCCGGCCTGGAACACACAATTTCACAGGAGAATAACTGACTGTAGCATTGTTTTTCAGATAAACAAGTATGTTAACTTAGCATGTTTCTTAAATATCTGCAAACATATTATGGTATTTTTATGCTTTAGTACAGTCAAAAACTTACATACAGCACCTTTAAATTAACTCACTATAGTAATTATTCATGTAGTTTACATGTGTTTTAGTATGTTAGTTAACACATCCAAATAAATAAAGCATGACAAAAGATTATTAAAACAATGAAAAGGTACTTTAAAGTAACACTTTTTGATACTTTTTAAAAGTGTACTTAAGTATGTCATGAACGTGTACTCTTAAGTACACTTAAGTGGCCTTTTATTTCAATAATTTAATAATATCTGAAAGTACAGCTTTTTTTTAAATGCTTTTCAAGACTTGACATACAGGTACACTATGAATGCACATTTAGTACAATTAAGTGCACTTCTTTTTTGAAAGAACTTGTCTACTTTCTTCTGTGGAAGACAAAAGGAGATGTTTTGAAGAAGCTTTTAGTGCATAAAAGCTTTCTAAATGACTCATGCACTGCAATCTGCCTTCTGAAGTCAAACAACAGCTTTGTGTGCTAAAAAGACCAAAATATAAGTCTCAAGACTTGACATACAGGTACACTATGAACGCACATTTAGTACAATTAAGTGCACTTCTTTTTTGAAAGAGAAGCTTCTGCCATTGTCTACTTTCTTCTGTGGAAGACAAAAAGAGATGTTTTGAAGAAGCTTTTAGTGCATAAAAGCTTTCTAAATGACTCATGCACTGCAATCTGCCTTCTGAAGTCAAACAACAGCTTTGTGTGCTAAAAAGACCAAAATATAAGTCATAATCATAAGTTTGGAAAGACATGAGGGTGAGTAAATGAGGACGGGATCTAGATTTTTAGGTGAGCTCTCTCTTATAGCTCTTATATTTTAGTCATATATGTATAAACCTGGTTGTGTGTCGTGTACTCCATTTGGAGCAGTATGTAGACTTTTTCATTCTTGGGAAAGCTCTCAACCATTCTCCAGATCACCTGCAAACACCCGGACCTTCTCTCTGATGGCCTGAGATTTGTTATCTGTGGAGGACGAAGTTTCACTGCAGTAAAAATAGAAAACATACTGAGAATACAGACATATTGAGAAGAAAAGACTTTATTTACAGGTTGTTTACTGCGGTAAGGAATGAAATGCCTTTGGCGTAATGGACACAGGTGCAAAGCATGATGAATAATGACATTAAACATTACTATAGACGGAAATTAGTGATTTATATGTACTGCTGAGAAGCATTTTTCGAGGTATGTGTCACCAATATGAAAGTAATAAACAATGTGTACAGTACATTAATGTTGTTTCGTGATGTGCAGTATACCTGCATTGACCCCACTGAAGAAGTACGGCGGTGAGCGTATGGATCCAGTGCGTGTGGAAGCCAGCACATCCGCACAGAAACAGTGTAACGCTGAATCGATGGGCTGAACGGAGCAGTCAGAGCCTCTGGTATTACAGAAACCCACCGGGATGAAGCTGTGTTTACTTTCACAAGAGGTTCTGTGCAGAATAACACAGGAATATCTCACTCACTTACATGCTTGCAAATAAAATGAATGGTGCTTTAAGTGAGTGACGTGACATGTGGCCAAGTATGGTTACCCATACTAGGAATTAGTGCTCTGCATTTAACCCATCCTTAGTGCACACACACAGCAGTGAACACACACACACACCGTGAACACACACCCGGAGCAGTGGGCAGCCATTTATGCTGCGGCGCCCAGGGAGCAGTTGGGGGTTCGGTGCCTTGCTCAAGGGCACCTCAGTCGTGGTATTGAAGGTGGGAGAGAGCGCTGTACATTCACCCCCCCCACCTACAATCCCTGCCGGTACGAGACTCGAACCCACAACCTTTGGGTTACAAGTCCGACTCTCTAACCATTAGGCCACGACTTCCCACATTTAAAGATCCCACAAACCAAAAACACTGATCTGAAGAACCTATAATGCAACATCAAGAACTTGTTTCATCTGCAAAGAAGCATATAGCAACTGAAAAACACTGTATAGCAAATAAAGCTGCTTCAAAAACCATTGCAATGAGTCAATATGAAAACATAACTTGTGCTTGGCAATTTAAACCACCTGTTACTTTTATCTGTTCTCTGTCTACTCAAAACTATACTGACAGATTGGTAAGTACTTTCGAATCAAGAAAACAAGTTAGATAGTTAGTAGACTTAAAACTAATAAAAAGATCAGTTTGTAAATCCCCTAAAATGAAAAAAAAAAATGTGTTAAACTGACGTATATGTAAATGAATTTCAAATGAAAACCCAATTCAAATGTGAAGTGACTTCCCAATTTGTGAGACTTGGGTTTATGGGCTTTAACGTTTCCTGAAACATCAATGTTTAGTAATTAGCAGTTTCACTGATCGGTACAAATTTGCAAATTGGTTGACTATAGTCACGCCAATCAAAGCCACTGCAAGCGTAAGCATTTGACGAGATGTCTATTGTCTACCAAAAACGCTGATCTGAAGAACCTATAATGCAACATCAAGAACTTGTTTCATCTGCAAAGAAGCATATAGCAACTGAAAAACACTGTATAGCAAATAAAGCTGCTTCAAAAACCATTGCAATGAGTCAATATGAAAACATAACTTGTGCTTGGCAATTTAAACCACCTGTTACTTTTATCTGTTCTCTGTCTACTCAAAACTATACTGACAGATTGGTAAGTACTTTCGAATCAAGAAAACAAGTTAGATAGTTAGTAGACTTAAAACTAATAAAAAGATCAGTTTGTAAATCCCCTAAAATGAAAAAAAAAAATGTGTTAAACTGACGTATATGTAAATGAATTTCAAATGAAAACCCAATTCAAATGTGAAGTGACTTCCCAATTTGTGAGACTTGGGTTTATGGGCTTTAACGTTTCCTGAAACATCAATGTTTAGTAATTAGCAGTTTCACTGATCGGTACAAATTTGCAAATTGGTTGACTATAGTCACGCCAATCAAAGCCACTGCAAGCGTAAGCATTTGACGAGATGTCTATTGTCTACCACTACCACTAAAACACAAGAAACCTATAGAATCAAATCAGCAAGTGTAATATGCAAAGTTAATTCCCTTAAATATATTATTATTATTTAAAGTATACTACAATATACTGTATGATTTAAATAGACAGACAGACAGATGATAGATAGATAGATAGATAGATAAGAAATGTAGCTTACTTGTTAATCTGAAGCCTGTAGCTGCTGATGTGGTGGTCGGTTGTTTCCCAGTAACAGGTGATGTTGGTGTACTGCATGATCATACACTGGGTGATTGACAGTGCTGCTGCTGTGGAGACGGTCGTGACATGTAGATAGAAAAAGTCTAAGAGTTTCTGAACACAAACACAAGCCTCACTGCTTATTAAAATTGCATAGCATAACAACTTATATGTGACCACCAGCCTGACATTTTTTTAAATATACTTGACATGAGAACATGGTTCAAAATCACAATCATTCAGTTAAAATCTTTATTATATTATTAAGCATTTGGGTAATAATCATTAGCCCTCAGTGTGACAACTAGCCCCAGTCTGTCAGCAGTCTGTGAGAGAACTGAACCACAAAACAATCAGCTGTACGGATCAGATTTCAGATAAAGAAACAATCCAGTGCCGGGAATCATACAGAAACTCTCAACAGGACACATAAATGATGTCACATCTACAACATGAATTGAAGGAAGTATTTATGCTGCGTTTAATTTTTACAGCGGTTTTACAATAGTGCACAATATTGCGCTGTTGTTTAGGGTAACGGAGATGACTCAGTGAAACTGAGTGAAACGTCTCGTTACTTACAGTATAATATGGGCGAGAACTGAGCCAGTTTTCTTTTTCTACCGAGTTCAGCCAAATGCAAAATGTTAAATCACTGATTCAGCTGAAATATTAATTTCATTTTTATTGTTATTTTGATAAGAGAGGTGAAACTTGTTAAGGCTTCAGTTGATGCCAACTTTGGATCGACATACAAAAATATCTAATATTACGATAAGTAATATATAAGGATAGTTTATAGCGTAGCTATTTATTGTCTACATAGTAGCGATTGGTTGCGTATCTATTTAGAGTAATGACTGAAAAGTATTTTGACCAATAGCGTGCACGCATTGCATTTAATCGACCAATCGTAGTGTGCGAGAAGGCGGGATCTATAGAGAGCGGTCAAAGCAATGCAAATAGGCGCACCGTACGTAATGAGGACTGTAGTGAGAAATTTATTTTAATTTCATACAGACTTTGTATAAAAAAGTATATTCTAGAAAAATTCTGTAAAAAAATACACAGGCTACAAAACTGAAAAAGCATGATGAGAAAGACAGAGATAGTTTACACCTCGGACCCGTCGATTACGAGCCCAGATCTTTAATCACTACATTGCAGCTTTGACACAACCAATACTGTCATTCATCATAAGCGCTTACCAGTGTCCAGGACCCTGTTCATTACACACACCCAGAGGAGAAGTCCAGCTTGAGGCAGCTTCATTTGGCTCATCTCTGGCTTGTGAGAACGTAAAATCAGGATGTTTTAGCTGAAATATTCACAAATCAAGTCACCACAGGATCACAGCCAAACTCTTGCGCAATGTTCCACATTACAGGGCTTCCCACGCAAGCAAATTGTATCCAAACCTTACCGGACGAAAAGTGTATTTGCGGAGTATATAACAAAAATCAAAATGTAAAATAAATAAAACATTATTTATTAATAAATAAACACACATCAATAAATAATTTAAAATAGGCAAATAAATAATCGGCTAATATTTAAACTAAGACACCAGTGGCGCAATAAAGCGCAAAAACACTACTTTTTACAAAGCACTTTTTGGACAGTTAAGTCATAAACATAAGTTCGTTTCTACCTTTTCTATTCACTACGTCAAAACACATTCTGCATACACATGAAAACGCAAATGAAGCAAACTATATGGCTATTACGGTGGATTACCCAAAGCGAAAGAACAACTGCGTAAAGTCAACATGAACTCGTGCTGTACCTGTGCTGGATAAAGTTGCCGAGAGCTGAAATCTGTCCAGCATTTACAGCCTTTAAGTGTCCGGAGATGCTGATGACATAATGATGCCAAGGGAACTGATGTGATGATCTGACCTGTTTTGACATTACGCGCTCTTCCAACAACAGACATGCGCAGTGATGCGTAAAAGCGCGTGGTGCACTCTGTTTGAAGTGTATATATATCATCATTAGAATTGATGGAGTATTCGCCTATAGCTGTAATAGCATCGTTTTGTATCGTATCTGATCAAAATTATTTGTTCTAATGTTTCTCATGCAGCAAATAATACAATAATGCAATTACAGTGAGTATGATTATATTTTAATAATAATATTGCTAATATTAAATGTATATATATATATATCCTAATTGTAGCCTATATAAAAATATGTATTTCAAAATATGTGCACATCTATTTTGTGTTTCATAAAACAACATACAACAAAAACAAACCTGAAATGCATTTGTAAAATGCTCAATAATTATCATTACACGCTGTGAGATTAAAAAAATTAGGAAATAAGTCTATGTCTGAAAATGCCATAATGGTTTAAGATATTTGACCGTTGTAATACTACAATACTAGAGCTTTGAATAGAAACAAAAACTGCAAAGGAGTCTGGTGACTAAACTGAAGCCAAATGAAACCCAATCCTCCAACAGTATGGGCAGGTGATGTTTAGAATATTATAACGAGTTTTGCAGGATATTTGTAACAGATCAGAAGTGGTTTAGGGCCATGTTTAAATTGCTCAGAGAGAGAGGGAGGGCATGTTTGTTTTCAACGGCATCAGATGGAAAACATTCATCATGTAATTGCAAATCCCCTTCAGTCAAAACAACCTCATAGCACCCTTGTGGAGATTCAAACAGAACACACAATACTGTGATGAGGGGACATTCTCACACTGCTATTATCCATGAACACACAAACGACACTGCCACATCCTTTCATTAACATATGAGTTGCAAAATGACCCACAAAGCATGTAAACATGAACAATATGTCACAAAAAGCTGATTCAAATCATGCCTTACGGTGTAACTAAAACCAAATATCTGCTTAATATTTGCCATCAGAATGAGAGTCTAAACAGCTGATAAAAACATCACAAATAATCCACACCACTCCAGTCAATCAAGAAACATCTTGTGAAGTGAAAAGCTGCGTGTTTAAGTAACAAGTCCATCATTAAGAAGTTTTTAACTTTAAACCGTTACTTCTGGCGCGAGTCCTCTATCCATAATATTGCTCTCTCCAGTGAAAAAGTTATCTACTCTGAATCAGGAGAGAAATATGCCCAGAAAATATGCCCAGATCAAGCACCATTCACAAAGAAAACAGTTCAAAACAGCTCTATTATTGTGATGTTTTTATCAGCTGTTTGGACTCTCATTTTGACGGCACCCATTCACTACATAGGATCCATTGGTGAGCAAGTGATGGAAAGCTGCATTTCTCCAAATCTGTTCTGATGAAGAAACAAACTCGTCTACATCTTGGATAGCACTTTTTGATTAACTATTCCTTTAACAACGCAAGTTCACTACAGTCATTCATACAGTAATGCATTTTATTTTCTGTTATAAATGTTTCCGCAATTCATTTTTGCCACGTGGAGTGATAAAATCAGCGGACGTACTTGAACTAGAATGACTCAGAGAAATAAACAAAACATTTGGAGAATATAGAATCAAATGAGTTATGTACCCGAAGTAAAACAACTTTGTGAAACCCCTGGCCTGTCATAAACAGAGTTTAAATCATCACAAAGGCTCAGCGGAAGCACACATTTCAGATATCAACATCCCTAAAGTCCCATTACAACAGGTTATTGGAATGCGTACAGTATACTGCGGATTCTCATTCAATAACATGTAAATGAATGTTTTACCTCCCTTTGGGGTGTAGCACAGATATAACATTAACATTTGTAATATGTGGTTTGAGGAACAGGCAGGAGAAACAACACAATTATTGCTCATCAAACAGAACAGTACTTTCAACTTACTAACTTGTAACATTACACTGTGTAAAGCAAGCCGATCCACAGTATGCTTGCTGCAAACTGTGCACTGTATACTGCATGCATTTGTGGAGAAAGATCCGACAGATCCAGACTGTAAATCGGGTAGTATAGTATATTTCAGCATTAACACTGTTATGATAAAGGTAATCACACTGGCGAAAGAACACCTCAAATGTCCACTAAGGGGGTCAACGTTGGTGCTGTGGTCCAAAAATGCTGAATTTAAGCAAAGATGCACGTCATGTGTTTTTGTTGCAAAGACGACCTGAAATGAGTCACTTCTTGCTAAATGACATCAACAAAGCGCATGTTAAGGAGACAACGGCTAAATAAGTTCCATAAATTTACATTTCTTAAATGTTGCTTTGATGCAACATTTATTTTTATGTTGAAATGATTATTTCTATATCCCAGTGCCTGTGCACATAATATCGCATGATTCATGCGGTCTCCATAATGGCCATTTACTCCCTCACTCAGTCGCTCAAAACAAACATATCAGCATTAATCTCATGAGTCTCTCATGAGTTCAGTCGTGATGAAGAATTAATGGGGAAGAACTTAAGATGACATAAAGACAACATACAATCAACCTCAAGTAAATACATTCAAACGAGACATTTGTTGTTTGCTGAATACCAAAATGAATCATTTGTTAAACTGATATTGCATACACTCATTGAGAATTAGGATTCATTTCAATATCATCTGATCACACATTGATCTTTGTTGGAATTACACCAGGCTCTTTGTGAAATCAATTGTTAGTCAAACTGCACACACAGCAGACAGAAGCAACACGTGCATGCTGTAAATTACTTGGGTACTTTCAGGTTAACAATGCAGTCTGTAAATAAGGTTTATTTGAAGTTTAGTAGCAATTAAAATAGATATTGAACTCGTTACAGAGCTTTGAATTTCTTATAGTCAAAACACAGATCATTTATGGTTTTAAATATTGCTGAAAGATGAACAATGTGGATGCTCATTATTCATTCTGTGATCTTTTTTTTTTTTTTGTAAGAGTCAATGTAACCTACAGCGCTATGTTAGCCTGAAGGCTGGAGGGGGAATTTTCAGATCTGCAGTAACCTGTTGAGCATTGAGCATATCTCATTTACCACACATGAATACATTTCATGTTGACATGAAGTGCCTTCAAAGCATTGTATTTCAGAATGTTTTCTGACTTGAAATGTTTTGATAAATGTGAAAGCTTCAACTTCAACTTTCAGAACTCAAAACATGCTTATTTTAGACTAACATTATGAGTGTACTTCTTGGGAAAAAAACCTACACTACAGTCAAAAGGTTGTATTTTAATCAACTAAATGCAGAGCATTTAAGCCTTTTTTTCCAAAAACATTTAAAAAATCATTTACTGAAAGAGCTTGACTAAGGATGGCGGGATGATTGTTTATTGGCCTTTACATTTGCGTGGTAAGGGTAAAGACAGCTCCAGCAGTCTGGGGGACGCGGTGGCGGCCCGAGCAGCATGAGTGACCTGGTAGGGGTCGTACCCCTCAAACAGGGCCTGACGGGTCTTGGGTCGAGCCATTTTCTGCAGCCTCTCACTGGCTACGGCCTTCAGAACATGATCTGGAACCGGCCAAGAAACAGGCCTCGCGAGAGAGTGCTGTGCATGGACCTGCTTAGGAGCTGAGAGTGATAAATAATGATGGAAAAGAGAAAACGAATTACCATTTGAACCCAACTGAACCCGTGTCAGTAACTCTCAGGGTTACTTTCTGAGCAGCTGTGGACTGTATACACAGCAGCTGAGCATTTACAGCATAAAAAGGGCGGTGATATGCACTCACAGGCCAGCTGTCGTATGCGTGATGAGGGTGTGATGGGAACGCTGATCGCGTGGGCGCTTGAATCAACGCTGCAGTATGTCAATAGCGTCTTCGCCCGCTTTGGTTGCGCCAGCTGACATATTCTTGAACTCGGCTTGGCATTTTTAACTGCAACACTTAACTGTAAGATCACAAGAACCCAGATGTGCCACGTGTCACACAATTAACATTGAAAAGCACATGATTTTACAGAACGTGCTCGAGGGCCAAATAACAGTCTGATGCAACGCTTTAAACCTGTGATGCAAAGCGGCAAACCCAGTAATAAAAAGAAACCAGGTGAACAATGATAAACATTAGAAGCAAGAAATGACCAGGCCTGCTTTTGGAGATCTAACAGTTTGAGTTTAGCTTCAGAGTTATTTTGTAGCATAATATATACTATAACAGTTTATGTTAATATTTTGAAATAAATATAATTTGTATATGTTCTGTTTTCACTTTAATTAAGGTTAATTAAAGTAGGAGTTATTTTGCTGTGTTTTTTTCACTTTTTAATATATATACTTTTTAATTTTATTTAATAGTTTTCGTTTATTTAGTTATGGTCATTTTAGTACTTCAACTTAAACTAAACAAACATTTAAAAAGTTGTCTTGTCTACTAGGTGAAATAAAATAAGTTAACTTTTTTTAAAATTTATTTTATATCAATTAATGTTTCTTTTATTTCAAGCAATGCAAAAGCTAATAACCCTGGCTACCACACTCTAAAAGTATGTAATTCCTTTGTGACGGGAATCTTCATACTTTGAGTATGTGGTAAGACAGCATACATATACCCAGACATACGAAATCATAACTTTCATAGCACAGATATCATATCATTTACCATTTGCACTGGCATGTGTTAGTATCCTGCTACATGAACTGTGAAAAAAGAATCCAGGAAATGGCTCAATGAATGTAATCTTTTCCCCCCTGTCTATAACATATTTCATATTGAAACAGGAAGTTGTGGTGGGACACATTGAAGGGATTGTCCCCATTTAAAAATAGCTAATAGCCTTTAGTTTAATTCACACCTAATTTACTACTTAGGGGAACATTAGCCCAAAAAATAACACCTCTGCAAACTTTGAAAATGCACTGGAAAAAGTGTAGTATAGTGCTTGTTTGCCTGAGACCACTAGTGAAATTGCTTCTACTTTGCATTATTTATAATTTAATATTTATCTTTAATAATTTGTAATAAATAATACTTTATATACTTTACTTTTTCTTCCATTTATTTCATTACATTTTCTAGTTACTATAGATCTCAAAATTATTCAAAAATGATTTTAATGCCTCATATCATGGGATAACTTTTTTCTTACTTCAAACTTATGTAGTGGTGTAAAAAAGTCTTTGCATGTTGTCAGATTGTGGGTTGTGGTAGTATTTAGGCACTGGTGGTAAGAGGTATTGGTGGGAGTCTGAAGCAGTTCTGCTAAGAGGAGTGGAACTTCGTCCACAGAGGTGAGAAACACTCATGCGTAACTACAGGAAGTGTTTGGGTGCAGTTATTGATGCTGAGGGGGAAATCACTTTTTCACACTTCTTGATAAGAAGAGGGTCCTTCGCTGAACCGTTGCTAATGCTTTAGTTTAGATCACAGACATGATGATGCAAACTGAAACATATTATATATGTTCTGAATCCTTGCAGAACTGCCTCAACTCTTGATACTTGTAGGCTTTTTAACACTTGAAGATTGCATGATTAAAAAAAGTGTTGCATTCACCAGACTTTAAATACTACCACATACCAAAGATTAATCTGACAACATGTGCACAAGCTCAGAAGTTAGGATGAAAAGACTTCTTTACAATGCTGTTTTGATTTCTGGGTCCCTATAAAGTCTACTGTATCATATTTGATACACACATTTCTAAGGCCTCTAAATGATCAACAAGATAAAGTCTTTGCTAAAAAAACCTGTTACACAATCTACAAAACAACCTTCTGTTATCTGATTGAGCTTATCATTTTTTAGCAAGTAAAATGCCTTTTATAATTGTAAAAGCATTCAGGTCGTGGTTTATGTGTCTTTTTGCAGTGAAATCTTTACTGATTTTTATAAAATAGACTTAAAAATAAAGTTTATATCAGTAACAATATTTCAAGATGAACGTAGGAAACTGAACTTAAGCAACTTGCATTTACATCTGTTTTTTTTTTTAATCATGTTAAAATATGAGCATCAGATATAGTACTAAGGCTTTTGTGTATTCATTCATCTCTCAATCATCATTGCTTTGCATTATATATTTTGCAACTCCAGAGCTTGGATCATAAAGTTAAGCAATTACATATGATCGAACTAAGACATATTATTTGGAGATATAGAGTGACAGCTGATATTTATATGCATTTTATGTCAGTAGTCTGTTATACTGTTATTCAGTTCTCATTGATTTACAAGTTATCAGAATTTCATCTAAATTGTGGCATATTTTTGCTCAGTTTGAGCCTCTGAATGAAATCGAGGTGTTTTATTCCTCGTGTTTGAGCTCAATTTTCTCACTATATCACACTGTATGAGCCATAAAAGCCTGATGTATCAAAAATGATACTCTACAAAAAACAAATGCCATTCTAAAATATATTTTGTCTGAAAGTTCAATTTACTGTTCCATTTAAATCAATAAATCAATCCGTTTTCTGCTATTGTTTATGTCAGGCTTTACAGGGTTATAGAACCAGTGAAGAACTTTTTTTAAGAGTGCAAGATCAGAAATTCATTTCGGCAGTGCAAAAGGGCATAAGATGTAATGCATTTACTTACAGTGGCCAGCAGAGGGCGTTCAGGCTGCCATCCATCAGCTGGCATACGAGGCAGTGCCAGTGAACACACTCTTTCAGAAGGACATGCTTTTAGCGCTGCTGCACTAACCATCCACTCCGGTGACCTTCTGTAAGGACAGACATATGAGCTATGTTCAGAATAGTACACTGCCATAATGCTATTTCTGCAGCACACTGTGCATAGGATGCAAATTCTCTGTATGCAAAAAATCCCTTGTGGCCTACTGCAATTGCCAAATGTCCAATGTAGGATGAGAGCACACTATTCAGAATGCAAGGCAAAGCACTTAACTGTGGAAAAAATGTTGGGTTTTGCATTGTTTTCTAGAAGCTGAAAAAAAAAAGCAGTATGCAACTAGTTCTGTTGTGGACTGTGATTTATTTGCTTTCAGCTTCTTTCTTTACTTCAAATCAACTAGATGACACCTGAGAGAGCCAGATTCATATTTTAATTTTAACTAATTACAGATGCCATCCTCAGTGAAGAATGCAGCCAATTAAAGCCCTGCGATGAGCTTTGAGACTGAGTTTAGGGTTTGAATGGAACCATGAGGACAGTGAGTACAGTCGGACTGGGAGAACCAGCCATTATTGCATGAAGACGTCAGTTGTTGTGCTGCTGCGTGATTCTCTAAACGGATACTGAACTTATGAGATGTGCATCAGGAGACACTGTGGAAGTGAAATCACTGTTTGTGTCTTTTAACGAAGATAAAATGGAATGAATAAGAGTTTACCTCTCATCGCCTATTGCATATTCACATTAAAGAGGTGTGTAAACTGGCTATAAATACTTAATATACATGTACAGTCCAGTGTAGAGCGCATATTCACTTTTCATGGGAACAGATTTGGAGGAATGTAGCATTACATCACTTGCTCACCAACGGATCCTCTGCAGTGAATGGGTGCCGTCAGAATGAGAGTCCAAACAGCTGATAAAAACATCACAATAATCCACACCACTCTAGTCCATCAGTTAACGTCTTGTGAAGTGAAAAGCCCAGTGTTTGTAAGAAACTAATTCATCATTAAGGTGTTAACTTCAATCTATCAAAATTACAAATATAATACAAAATAATGCATAATAACGCTTCCTCCAGGAAAAAGTCCATCTTCTGTTGTCCTCTCACATCAAAATCCACCAACATATTTCTTTAAAACTGATTTGGACTGTTTTTGGTTGTAAACAGTGTTTGATATGTGCATATTTCTCTCTTGATTCAGACGAGATGACGTTTTCACTGTAGAAATTAATATTATGGATTTGTTTCTTACAAACATGAAGCTTTTCACTTCGCAAGACATTTTTAATGGACTGGAGTCACGTGGATTACTTGTGGATTATTGTAATGTTTTTATCAGCTGTTTGGACTCTCATTCTGACGGCACCCATTCACTGCAGAGGATCCACTGCTGAGCAAGTGATGGAATGCTACATTTCTCCAAATCTATTCTGATGAAAAAACAAACTCCTCGACATCTTGGATAGCCTGAGGGTGATGAAATTTTCAGCAAATTTTCATTTTTGAGTGAACTATTTCTTTAAGAATTGTAGCTTTAGTAAGCAAGTTTAATGTAAGTTTTAATGGAAATCACATTAGTCACCTGCTCTCCTCAATGAAATGGCTTGATTCTTTGCTCTGGGCGAGCTGCTCCAAGCGAGGAGTCAGTTCTGTGGAGACAATTTCAATACATGACTTGAAACTCTGGACAAATGGAAACAAAGATGATGATTTAACATTTTCGCATTGCATAAAGGCAGTAAATGAAGTGATTCTCATACCAAAGGCAGTAGTGGTGTTCTTTGACCTGGTTGGTAGTTCATCAAGCCAGTATACGGAGCGCCTATAAATATTACAAATATGAATAATTATTGCATCAATGCACAAAGATAAATGGGTGGTTTGAACACATATAACTGCTGTATTTCATCATAAATATACAAAAGTATTTTTGGAGTCCGTGTTACTGCCCGGGGATGTGGCCGACATGAGTTAAAGCATTGATGATTCACAAAAGGATGCCCAAGTTATCTGTTGTTTGAATGAGTCAAGGAGCCCCCTTGTGGGCAAATATGCCAGTTCATAGGTCAAACACTAACTGAGGTTATGACCATCTGTGAGAGAATGACAGTCTTTACTCTCCTGGGATGCAGCAGTTCAGTTTTGTCCTCTGTAGAGGATGTTGCCACAGATTTACGTCCTTGTATACAGTATATCTTTTCTTAACCGATTTTCAAAGTGACTTTTCAAAGCCCAGTATGATTTCCTTTTACAAGAAAGCCGTTAATTTCATGCATGTCCTCTGTGTAGGATGCTGTACATACATTTTCATATTTCACGTTCAGATATTTATCTGAAAATGTTCTGGCTTATTACTCTCATTATTGCAGTAGTCTATTTTCATGCATTGCAAGTTACACCAAAAAATTACATTTTGTTTGGAACACCCATTTTTGCACGCATTTACAAAAAACTAAAAATTGATTTGAAGTACCTATACGTATGTCATTTAATGAACTGGCAGTAAGATGTAGTATTTAAAAATAGGGTTATATATATATAAGGCATACCCCTCTGTGTTCATCTATATTAGGAATCGTATGTTATGATAATGTACCGCAGTGACGCACCTGTCAGGGAACTTGAGAAGGTTTGGTTTGGCCCTGGAGAGCTGCTCTATCCGTGTAGGCATCACTGCTCACTGAACACAACCGTTTCCACGAGCCCAGTTAGTGTGTTTAGAACAAAAACTTGTGCTTTAAATTGTATAAACCGATAAAAACATTCTGAATGCATCTGCATAAACAATTAATTAAACGAGACATTATAACTGTTATATGAGTGAATGTTGCAAATGAATTCCACGCACTCATTAATCATGTAATGCAGAATTATAAAACACTTGTTATAAAACAAGTTCAAACAACGAAAAAGCAAGTCTTGCTTGCATTGTGTCTACACCGGACGCGGCGCGACAAATTCACGACAGTAAACGGTTGCTGCGTTTTATTTATGACATACTGACACATTTCAAATGATTTTCAACGGTCGCTTTGTCGCGTCCAGTGTAGACAGACTTTAGCTGTCGCGGCGCGACACGACAGCTGTCGCGTCCGGTGTAGACACGGTGTTGTTTTCATATTTAAATCACTTTTATACCGTTTTATTAGATAAACAGAAGCTTCCATAACTCACTCACCGATCCAAGCGTCAGGTGCGCTGCGGCGCGTTACGTGTCACCGTAGCAACAGGTCACGTGAGTGCGCTCTAATAAATCCTGTGTAAAAAAAATCTTCTAGTGTGTAAACATGCTACATATGCAGAGGTTTAAAGTCATTTTCATTAATTGTCGAATAAGCGTGTTTAAAAAAAAAAGCATATGGCATAATGCATAGACATAAAATTTAAAAGTGATCAAAAATAAAAAATATAAATATAAACCTTGTCCTGGAAACACAATTCAACTGTTTAATTACAATATATCTTAATTATAATGTATCTTGTCTGAATTTATGCTAGTGTAGTTTTATTGTGTTCACTTGATAACAGATTTAACAAAATATGATGACATTGTAGTTTTAGTTTGAACAAAATTGTTATTTTTTTTTTTTTTTTTTTACGTGAAACCACTAGGCCAATGGTTAAAAAAAAATAACAAATAAATAAAATTAGATGCTTAAGGCTTTCAAAATACAGCCTATGCAAAAACTAGTTCCAACCCCTAATATACAATATATTAAAATTATATAATAATAAAAAATAAACTTAATTTTATGAAATAAACATTTTGAGGTGTAGCTAATTCTGCTCAGGTGGGGAAAAAAATCACCAGATAAATAATGTGAAACACTGTGTCGGACCCCTGAGGGCCTCAGTCTGTGAAAGACTCCGACCGGCAGCAGATGGGAGCCGGAGCTAAGCTTGCATGACCACCAGTCAACTGTTAGACTGAAAACTGAGCACAAGAGAGAGTTAACCATGAGGACAATGCTGGAGATTAGAAAAAACAAATGCATCAGAGAACAACCCCATCAGCAGCTGCTGGCATGGGCTTCAGTGTGCTGCATTTTCAGTCAGATCACATGATCTCTGGGGGGTTTGTTAAATGTATATAACCTCCTACCCACTGAGCTGAATATGTATCATACTCACTTTTTCTGATTGGCCAAACATAGTGTGTAATGTTTGTACAATGACCTCAAAACTGGTAACCAATCTCTCATAGCAAATGTTCTTCTCACATAATAAAATAATTTCAACTCATATATCAGTATTTCATGTTTATTCATCATTGCTTGTGCTTTAACATGTATCAACAGATAAAAACATTCTGAATGTATCTGCATAAACATGTAATTAAAGAAAATATAGGCTAAGAGTGAATGTTGATTCATGCAAATATGAATTCCACGCACTCAGTAATCATTTACTGCAGAACTATAAAACAGCAAGAAGCCAACATATAAACAAGTTCACACGATGAAAAAGCAAGGACTCAAGAATCCTACAGCAAGAAATGGTTCTTAAAACAAAGAGGGTTCTTTGCTGAATCATACTGTCATTATATAATTATGACATCTTAAAGTCATAATTTGTTAGACATGAGTCATTAAGCTAGATAAACCCTGCTGAAGCTTGAAGATCTTTAAAGAATAGAGGTGAACATTACAGCACTGTCACTGCAGGGAAAAACCCTGAACATCAGTGTGTTTGAACATGCTGAAGTATGCTTAGATGAGCACAAATCATCATACATGTAGACACAAGTTAAAAAGTTACCACAGAATTGGTCTTGCCCAATAAATTTCACAGATGCTCTAAAAAAATAATGCTACACTTTATATAGATCCACCCTGTGTTTGCAGACAATTGTAATGTCTTCTGAGAGTTTTGGGTCAGGCAAATAATGAATTTAATTAGTTTCAAACTACAATGTGTAGCTTTTGTCCCTCTAGCGGATGAAGCACAAAACACGTTACTTGCAGAGGAACACTGTTTTGGCTGTTACGTCAGTTGTTCTGTGTGGATGGTTCTGATGGCTTGAGGCGGATGATTGCGTTAGTGCAAATGTCAATAATGACATCAAAAAATATGCCTTATGAGCAGGTAAGCAGCTCATATGCCGTTGCTTTGACTGTTGAAATCAGTAGTTTTAATGTTACTAATATTTCGCAATGCTGTCTTTCGACATAACGACTGTTATTCTTATCAAATAACGGTGGAAACTATAACTTTGCAAGGCTATTTATATGCAAACCGATCAAAGTAACTGGTTTAGAATCTGCCATTGTTAACAACAAAAACATTGTTTGTGAATCTCCTCAATGCACAGCAAATGTGATGCTCTGCAAACTGTTGATTCGTGTTTTATTATTGATGTCGCTTTGCCTTTTTTTTTTCGGTTCGAGGTTCAGTTGTTGTCGCTTCAAGATAGTTTCACTGCATATATTAGTAGCCTGATTTAACAGAAACACACATGGATGAATGATGCAGCTTCCTGGGAATTCCGTCTTGACAAAAATATGAGTAATTACATAACAATGGATAAATTATGAATAACTATTATTATAGGCTTCCCATAGTGATTTAGAGCAAAAAATAAGGTCTGAAAGATGATTTTATTATGTATTGCTCGCTCGGTTTAAATTTTGTTAATTTTGAACCAAAAAAGTTACATAGTTTAGCTTTAAAATGTAGACTTTATCATTTCAAATATAGAAATATGATTAAATATACATTGTTACTTGCACAAAACTATCATCATGATTCACTTTTGAGTGTGACTGTAAACCCCCCCCCCCCAAAAAAAACAGTAACAACAGAAATG